GAAGTTTCTTCGTGGGGAAGCGGTTGTCTGCGACTTTGAGTTTGTGCATGGGAGAGGGATGCTGCTCTGTGTTAACTCTGGTGTGTATTGGTCCACTGGGAAATGTTCTGTGATTCTGGTCCCTCTTCCTGGAGGATTGGAGGTAGGATGTGACTCTGGTCTTTACCCTTGGTGGGGGGTGTGTGTCTGTGACTCTGGTCCTTATCCATGGGGCGGGGCTGGGGGGACGACTGTCTTGTGACTGGCCCAAACCCAGTCACATTGGGTGGAGAGGGGGATTCAGGGAATGTGTGTGTGACTCATTGCCGCTTCTTTTGGGGAGTTCGGGGAGTTCATATCTGTGACACTGATGCTCATCCATGGAAAGGGGACCCAGTGTGTGCAATTGTGGCCCTTATTGTGGGTTCCTTCTCTGATGTGGGCCCGTAGTTATTTGAGACTCGTGTCTGTGACTGGCCCGTGGCTGTGGTAGATGTTACTGTGTGACTCTGGCCACTTTGCCAGAGTCTCTTGAGGGTTTTTGTATCTGGCTCTCAGCCGCCAGTGCCTCTGGTGTGATTCTAACTCTTGCCCACCTGGGAGCAGGTAACTCGGGTTCCCTGTGGCTTGAGGAGGAAGAGAAAATTGGAGTGTGTGTGTGCGCGCATAGAGCAAAGGTGTGGCAGCAACCTAGAATTGGGCAGGTGCTATTATTGCCTAGCTTTACCTGATTCCTATTCATAGGGTGGGGCCCGAAGATCTGGGATTCATCCTGACCTCTGGCTGGGTCACACGGTTCTCAGGACTCCCTAAGTTCTCACCATAGCCCTGAGGGTTGGATGAAGTGGCTGTTGCTCCATCCCAGTAGAGCACAGTGGTTCAGAACAGCCTCCAAAAGGGCCCCTTTTGCCTGTGGAAAATAGGCTTGAGCCCTGGGGAGAGAATCACCTTGGGACCTTGCTGCACATAAGAGACAGGGCTCAGGGCTGAGCCATTTGCTGTGTGAGGGCCAAGGCTGTGTTGGCCAGGAGCCCAGGGAGGTGGCAGCTGTCTCGTTGCCAAGTTACCCCCTTCACACACACCCCCAAGAGCCTTTCATGGTCTTTTGCTTCCTTAAAGGGGGCAGCCAGCAGCTTCTTGGGAGGATGAGATGGTACCTTGGGGCCCATGGAAGGAGCCTGGTGCGTGCGTGGGGTCCCCGTTGTTGTCAGATCTTGCCTGATGTGCTGAATGTCAGCAAGACTTTCAGCACTGAGAGTCCCCTACCCCCACCCTGGATGCATCCCCACGCTTGAATTTCTCTACCTGTCTCAGGTGGCAAAGCCCTGATCACACCGTGTGTGGCCTTGCCAGGTCTTTCTCCAAGATGCCCTCTGTCTGCCGAAGGCCTTGCTGTTTTCTAGGGCAGTGGGCTCTAGCCTCGTGTTTGTGAGGAAAGGAAGGAGCAGGCTAAGTATGCGGTACCTTCACATTATGATGCACAGGAGTGCTGGGATCTGGAAGACAAGGCGGAGAGCCTTGACAACAGTCTTTCTCAAGGAGGCCCTCTCTGTCCCAACTGCTTTGACCCCTTTCTTCCCTTCACTTTCCCCAGAGTCCCTGCAGGAAGAATCACCCAGGCTGGCAGATCATGGTAGCAGCAGCGGGGGTGGCTGGGAAGTGAAACGGAGCCAGCGGCTGAGGAGGGGCCCCAGCAGCCCCCGAAGGTCCTATCAGGACATGGAGTATGAAAGACGGTGAGTTATCTGTTCCAGTCTTCCAAACAGCCTAGGCTTGCCTCTATGTGAGAATCGATCCAAGAAGGTGCTAGGATGGGACTTCTGGGTAGAGGAAACAGCACAGCAGATGGGTTTCTTTTCAGCAGACGTATTTGGCACCTGTTGTGAGCCAGGACTTGTGCTAGGCTCTGAGAATGCAGTGATGAATGAGACATGAGATGCATCCTTCTCAGTACTCAGGGTGTCACAGGGAGGCCATGCAGTTTACAGGTGGTTAAGAACAGCTTGGTGGGTACCATGGTTGGATGGGAGGGTAGGAAAGGATCAGGAGAAAGGGAGGAATCAAAACTGACACCCACATTTCCAGCTTGGGCGACCTTGATATGTTTGTGTGGTACCATTTAGCAAGGTGATGCCAGCCACTGGAGGAGGAGGAGGAGGAGCAGCAGCAGCAGAGGTTGAGGTTGGGGCTATAGCTTGGGGTATGAGGGATGGGTGGGAATGGTGCCATCAGAGTCAGAATTTGCCCAGGACCACTAGGGAACAAGCCAGGTCAGATAGTGGGAGACTCCAGGGACTGTGTGGGCTACAGTTGGCATGATACTTACTTGGAATGGAAACTCTCAGTTATTTCTTCAACTCTGCTATGAACAAGGAATAGCTGGAACACTGGGTAAAATTCAGAAATCCTGAGTAAAATTCAGTGATCCCACGCCAGCCAGGTGATTCCGAGGCAGATGACCCAGCCATGACACTTGAAGATTGCCTAGAAAAGCAGACCTAATTCTCATAGAAAGCCTCTATTAAGAGTCAAGAGTTAATAGCTTTATAAAAAGAGAGAAAATAGCCGGGCGCGGTGGCTCACGCCTGTAATCCCAGCACTTTGGGAGGCCGAGGCGGGTGGATCACGAGGTCAAGAGATCGAGACCATCCTGGTCAACATGGTGAAACCCCGTCTCTACTAAAAACTACAAAAAATTAGCTGGGCATGGTGGCGCGTGCCTGTAATCCCAGCTACTCAGGAGGCTGAGGCAGGAGAATTGCCTGAACCCAGGAGGCGGAGGTTGCGGTGAGCCGAGATCACGCCATGGCACTCCAGCCTTGGTAACAAGAGCGAAACTCCGTCTCAAAAAAAAATAAATAAATAAAAAATAAAAAAAATAAAAAATAAAAAGAGAGAAAATAATTTTTGAAATGTCTTACAAAGAGTTTCTTCTACCACCACCCCTTTTAAAAACGTAGAATTGTAATATTTTGTTTTCTGAAAAGTGAGCCCAAATTTGAGATAAGGTCATCACCTAGTGTTATTCAGTCTTGACTTTCACTGGAAATGTTTTTTGAATATGCCCTAAGTGCATGTAGAAAAAAAAAAAAAGAAATGTTTTTTGAAGGACATTTGCTTTTGGATGGTATTCACTAGAAGTGCCCTGTGGCCATTTCTGAGTTTGATTAGCTGACATACATACTTTGTTCAAACTTTATTACCAAGTAAAACCATCGACTTCTAAAAGCCCTCAAGTGCAGAGATTTGAGTTCATCATACTGTCCAGTTTAAGGTAGGTTTCTGTCATAGGTCAGCACAAGGCTTCTTCTTACCATGTTTATTTTTTCACTTTTATTCCCAATTCCCACCCCTGTGGGTAGCTGCTCTGTCGTGTTTGATATGTATCCTTCTATGATACATGCCATAGAAAATATATGGATACATTTTCATAGAAAATGAAAATAATGAAGTATTGTTTTGAGTGTGTTTTCAGCTGGCACACATGGCATAGTGCCACAGTCTTCTTTCTGTTTCCTGAGCTTTGTATTTTACTCTGTGGAAATTTTTTTGTTTTTGAGACAGGGTCTCTCTGAGTTGCCCAGGCTGGTCTCAAACTCCTGGGCTCAGTCAGTCCTCCTGCCTTGGCCTCCCAAAATGCTGGGATTACAGGCGTGAGCCACCGCAACTGGCCAGTAGTGCTGTATTTTTAACATCTGTCTGTATTGCCATGTATATGTTACTGCTTTATTTCTAATTGGTGGCAAGAGCATCATGGTGCATGTCCACTGCATTTTACTTAATTCCCTTAAGAGTAGATGTCTGTTACTAATTTTTATGTGCTAACATTACCTTTTTTGCCTTATCTTTTAATCTATAGTTCTACCTTTTGCATTTAGATTTTTAATCCGTCTAGACTCCACTTTTGAATATGGCATAAGGTAGGCTCTGGTTTTATTTTCTTCCATATAGTAGGCAGTTTTTCCAGTACCACCTCTTAAATGGTCCATTCTTTATTGATCTGTGGTACCTTATCTCATTTCAGGTTCCCTCAGGTACATGGATCTGTCTTGAGTAATGTAATTTGTTGCATTGGTCTGTTTGCACATTCTTGTGGAAGCACCTTACTGTTTTTATTATTATGGCTTTATATAATGTCTTAATAGCTTCTTTGCACTGATTTTTCAAAGTTGATTTAATCCTTTGTGGGGCTTTATTCTATATAAAAAGTTTTATCAAAGTCCCTCAAAAACAAGAAGAATTTTGATTGATATTGCACTGAACTTCTCTGTGAATTTGGGGAAAATTGTCTTTGTAAGTAGTCATCTC